TATTTTTAGTAGAATAATGATTTAACTATGTTAATATTTTGTACAGATAGCTATGATAGCCGTAGGAGTGAATTGAAGACATGAAAGATTAGAAACCCATCGTATTCAATAATCCAGATAGTTATAATGGCTGTTTAAAATGAGATAATAGATATATATGCAAAGCCAGATTTGTTCAACATACAAGAGATATTTAGAAACTAAAAGAAGCAAAACAGAATTCTTCATTGGATGTTATGTTGGGTTTTCTTTATTAAGACAAAAGAACAAGATAAGCAATTTACACAAGAAAGAGAAGTTTACTGAGCCCATAATTTTATAAAAGATTTATTTATTTATCACTTATAGAAAAAACAGAGCAATAGAGAAGGAGTGACAAGAGGGAGAAAAACACACAGAGAGGGAGAGAGTATATTAACTGTTTCACTCCTCAAACGTCCACAACAACCAGGTCTGAACCAGAGCCGGATACCCCATCCTCATGGGTAAAAGACTTCACTTGGACCATCCTCCACTGCCTTCTCAGGAAGAAAGCAGGTGGCTGGATCAGAAGTGGAGCAGTCAGATTTTAAACTGGCATTCGGATAGGAAATGCTAGCTTCACAAGCAGCACTTTGAAGTAGTTGGAAGTTGAAAATGCAAAGATTGTGATGCACGGTGTGTTCAAGTGGATATCAGACAATGTGTAGAGGAAGGGTCACATGGTGACTCAGAAAGCAGAGAGACTGCGCCCAAACTTGGTTTTTACAGCAAACCTATCATGAAAAATATCTCCCAACAATATACCCTAAGGACTTCCTGTGAGCCTCCTCCCAATAGTGCAATGTTGGGGATCATGACTTTAATACAAGAAAATATCTGACATCCACACTAACATGCAAACCATAGCAGACATCATGATGTTAGAGTGAAGAATAAGTTAGAAAGAGTCAAGCTGATGCCCAGATAGGGTACTTCATGCAAATATCCAAGATATGGAAAGACAAGCAAATTTGAGCATGTGGAGAAGGAGAAAGGTAAATAAAATCTGAGTAATATTGAATTTAAGTTCAGGTAAAGGGAAACAGGTATAGGACTTTTGAGAAGCATGCTAACATAAAATATGGAAATTTAAAAAAATGTTGCCTTGTTATTAAGAGTAGAAAACAAGTGGAGACTTCTAAGCAAGAAGTGGTTGGCAATATAACATGTCTCCAACAGGTCACGGAATTCTACTCAGTGTAAAGGAACAGAGAACTTTTCATTCCTGGAAATCACTCACCAATCCAACCCTTAACCCCAAACAGCAAAACCTTTTGGCCAAAAGTGAGGTTTTAGATTCCAATAACAATCAGGACACAGTAGAGTCAGAAACAGGTGAGTGGATTCCCTCCCATATGCTTTGGTCCTGAAGGAAAACAGATCTCTTCTGTGAGTATTGGGAATGGAGACTGTCCATTTCCAGGGCTTTCAGGGAGAGGGTTGGTCAATAGGTGTGGTTTTGACTTTATCTGCCTGTGACCAACGGTATACCAGGCTCACCAATAACATCAGGAGGCAACCAAATGCTCCTCTCTCAGTCAGAAATAATCCAAGACACTTTAGAATACATAGCAAGCAGACAAGCATGTATTTATAATTCAAGCATGACATTTAGGTCTAAATCTAAGTGCTAAATTTTAGTCAATCCTATTGGTCTGATTTATACTTACAGTCCTTAGTCTACAACTACTATGGACAGTCTGGTTACTAAAGAAAGAAACTCTTTTGTGGAGGGATTTGCTTGGTGGTAATATCATCAGGAAGCTGTCTGAATGCAGAAGCCCCAGATATACTATGGAGTTTGACATCTTTGAATTTTGTGTTGATTTTTTTTTCTGCACGTTTATTAATTTGTAATATCAGGGAAAACATTCAAGTGGTCTTGTGTACTAATATTTGCATTATTTACTGTTGCAAACTACCCTAGCATTTGCACTTGACAAAAGCATGTTCAGTTTCTTCAAAATTAAAAGTTTATATTATTTGTATATTAAATGATAGAAATGACTCAATGGGTTTAGAATTTAGACTGAAATACATATTGCCCTGCTGTATGGTAATTTGAAGGCCGTGACTATTGCCATGGAAATGTTTGCTCTATGCTAGTTGTGATTTCACTTAATAGGATGAGAAGCAGAATCATTGCTGCTCTTCAGAAAGGAGGAAAAAAATATTCTCTACAGGAAAGTCATATTCTTTAATTCTGAAGTGAGATTCTCATTTTGTCTAGAATTCTTTCTTCAATCCAGTTGCTCTTATATATAGTCCTTAGCACATGTCATGTCATTAAATACACTATTTTTGTTTGTACTGTATTTTACCATCCCTATTTTATGGAAAATAATCAGAAATCCATGCACACACTATGGAATCAATCCATCTTTTCACAGGTAAGCAGAGGTCTGAGAAATTACTCGTGTTGATGCAATGAACCAGATGATTTCAACTTCAACTACTTGCTTCAACTCATTTTGTCGCTCTAGTTGAGCAGTTGAAATTTCTGTTTCAAATGCAAAGCTTTTACCTTCTTGGAAACTTGCCTTGTTTTGAGCAACTTTTAATCATGAGAGTTCTCATTTCACCTTCCATTTACCATTTCAATCTGAGACTTTAATACTGTTTCCAGAGTAACAAGCCTCAAGTTAATCATGGCCTTGGGAATTGAGCTCCCCAGTGTACACACAGCCTGCATGACTCTTGGTTCCCAGCACGGATGTTGGCTCCCAATTCAGCCCCTGGGATCAGGGGCAGTGCCTATCTGTCCATCCTTGCTGACAAACACTGTTAGGAAGCCAGAAGCAGTAACTTCTTCTCAGTGTTTTAAGAAATGGAACCAAGGAACTGAACGGTTTTTAAGTTTTTTATGTTTCTTTTTATTTATTTGAAAGGCAGAACAGAGAGTGGCAGAGAGAGCTGTTCCAGACACTGGGGAGTGAACCAGCAACTAGAAAATTCATTCTGCCTTTCAGATATATAAAATAGATTTTTAAAAACTTAAAGACCATGAGATAAAAACAGAGTCTGGAGTTTTATTTGGACCTACCATCGTGATTGGGAATCATTATATATTTTTTTAATCTCCCAAACAGGCATTTGCTGTAGTTGTCATTCATTTATTTTGTACGCACTTTATACAGAGGATGAATTGTTTCGTAACAATATTCTGAATTCTCAAAGCAGTATCATTCACCATGTAAAACAAGCTGGGATAAAGACATCTAAGAGTTCCTGTTCTATAGGAAACACTTGTATGCCAATCTCTTCATTAGGGAAGTGTATGCCCGGAAGTATGTCTTGCTTGACAGCTTTTGCGTTCATGCACTAGTCATGGATAATCTAATGTGATTAGGATGGCCACTACAGAGATTTTAATTTCCTACCATGCAAGTATCTATCTCAAATAGCCATATTGCACATTTCAAAATGCATATCAAAGACAGCCTTTTGGCCTTGTGGTTAAAGGCTCGTCCCATATCAGATTACCTGCACTAGACAGCTAACTCAGGCTCCAGATGGCAGCTTCTGACGGAGGGCAACAGGTAAAGGCTCAAGTGAGTACGTTTCTGCCACCACGTGGGAGAACTGGATTGAGATCCTAGCCTCTGACTTGGGTCAACTCAGTCTGGTTCGTTGAGGACACCTGGAAACAAAACTAGTGCGTGGGAGCTCTGCCTGTCTCTCAAAGAAATAAATACTTAGCAAACTATTCCTAAGTGTGGTAATAGGGTTCACGGTTTAAATTAAAACTAATGTTAACAAAATAATTTGATTTATATTTTAGTAGTCTTCAAATATTTAGTTTTTTCCCAAAGTAAACCTTGAAATGACAAGTGTTTTAAAAAACAAATTGGAATTGCTTACCATTGCCTAAGTTATTAGTGTAATTGGCTTTTGTTCCAGATTTAAAAATGCATTCTCACCCCTCATTCTTTTGCCATGCGCTGGTAACAGAACACAATGTAAAGTAACTCGAAGTAAGTTCTTAAGAAAATTATACAGCATCTTCTTTTTGGTGATTATATGCAAACGCGAATTAAAGGTGCCCCTCAACTTGAAACTAAAATAACCCTAATCTCAGTCTTCATTCTGTCTTCTAGACCTGAACAAAATACATCAAGACACATTACAGTGAAAATATTTATGAACTTACCATTCATTCTAATTTTTACTATAACTGGAAAATTTCTATTATATTAAACACCATGTTTGTAACTTCTCAGGAGTCTCCTGTCCAGCAGGCCCCGAGGACACCAAGCGCTGATGCGACAGTGCTCTTCTGCAACAGAAACACTGGAAACAAACTGGTGGTGACGGATGTCCATCTATTTGAAAGAAGTCACAAGTTTATATAGGATAGGAAAAGGGGGCAGGCAGAAGGCGGTCCCAACAGTACTTCCACCCAACAAAAACACTGTGACTGGCTAACAGATATGTCTATCTCTCTGGACCCTCCAATGAAATTAAAGGTCAGGAAGCACAGGAAACACAAGAAACTGTGTCTCAGGGCAGATTCCTAACCTGCTGAAAAGCAGGATGAATGTAACATTTGACATCCTAGAGTTATTTACAAATGAAATCCTAGTACAGTTCAATTAAGAGCAAAGAAGAGAGACTAGGGTGCAGCCCATCGCTCTTGTTGTATGTACAGCGAACAGGCCGTGTTGGGGTGTCAGTTACCCAAGGGCAGTGTGCCATGTGCCCATGGCCTCCCATATGGGCTAGGCAGGCAGGGATCCCACAGCAATTAGCACTATTTTAAGTTTACATAAAATGTCTCTTTAATTTTATTAATGTTTAACTGAAACCATTCACAAATTCACATAAAATATGTCACTGATATTTATCAAAGGTGCAACAAAGCAATATGAGTGTGGATTTATCAGGATCACAGAAATTGTTTTGGTCAGTCATCAATGAAGAATTGACTATCCTAAACCAGATTTACTACCACCTGAATTCCTCTTTGTCTATTTTTACAGACAATGCAAATGGATGTCAACAGGCTAAATGTAACCTTGCTTCGGATATTCCGCCAAGGAGTGGCTACTGCTTTAGGACTCTTACCCCAGCAAGTGCACATCAACCGCCTCATTGTAAGATGCCTACTTTTCACATTTCCAGAATTCAAACTTAAGCATTGAGCATCTTGTGCTAGACTTTTGTGGCTCCTTAGGCGATTATGACATATCAGCTGTTTCTGTGACTAAAGTTATGTTAGAACAAGGCACGCCCACTTATTAATGTTTTATGCATATCCACTTTCATGGTACCATGGTAGAGTTAAGTCATTGCCACAGATTGACCCAGAAGTCCAAGACTGTTTGCTGTTTCACTGTTTCACAGAAACTATTTGTCAACCATGTCATAATTCAGGCCTAGCTATCCTGTTCATGGTCAGTATGAATGAAGAGACCACAAACACTTGCCTACTACTGAAACTACTCCCAAAATATTCTCCACAAAAGTGAACATCCCTATAGCAGGTAAAGTGCTGTTTCCAAACTGTATGCACTAAACACTTTCAAAGAAATCAGTAGAGTGAAGGACTTGAAGTGCATAAGGGAATATGAAGAATAAATACAAATTGACCCATGAGAATAGCAGCCTAAATGAGATGCCAGAACAGACACCTGACAGGGGTGTCTTAGTGACCTGAGTTCTGTAAGTTCCTTTGTGTTTGCTGTACTCCCCACCTGTCTACCACAACGGAAACCTGCACTTGGGTGTGGATCGAAGCAAAAGACAAAAACAGAAAGCTAAATTTGTATCAGATTTCATATCAGATATTTTCTTTGTAGAAATCCACTCATACTATCTTTTATTCATCTTTGTTTTTGATTATCACTTTATCCATTGCCTATTTTCCTGATGGACCATTGTCTTTTTCACTTTTTATTTGTTAAACTATCATTTTAGTAAAGTCACTGAACCATTGATTATATTAAAATATGTTACATTAAAAATGGTATCCTTCCAAAATTAAATCATTTAGGTAAAGAACAGAGGCTATAGCTGCAGTTAAGTGTACCATGCTGCTGACTGTTACAAAGCAGTGAAATGTGTTTTCCCTTCGTTACACATTCACAGAAAATTCTTGCTGTTTTCAGGAAACCCATTCTGGCCGTATATGCCATACGTGTATGTACAAGTATATACTGAATTATATGAGGGAAGGTCCTATCTAAATCTATAGAATTTGACATGAAGAAAGAAAGCAATGAAGATATTTCATTTATTTTGTCTAAAAAACTGTTTTTAATACAAATGCAAAAAAAATATTACCCAAGATTTCTTAAAATATCTACTAACATTTATAATGTTTTTCCTTTTACTAGGAAAAGAAGAACAGTGTTGAGCTGTTTGTGTCTTCCTTAAATCGAAAAACAGGAATTTCTGATACTCTGTCATCCGAAGAAGTGCTGCGTTCACTTAATATAGATGTTTTACACCAAAGTTTATCACAGTTTGGAATCACAGAAGTCGCTCCTGAGGTGTGTTGTTGCTTGACATATGTCATTTAAAAATCTCTATAATCGGCATAATATAAAAATCTACCCCTAAGAGGTTTTTGTGATGAAAGCTGTTTATTCTACATGATTTGATTTAAAACACACACACACAAAGAAACCTCTAAGGATCAAAATTCTCTGAGATTCACACTCTTTATGTTTTATTCCTTAAGGAAATTTCATTTTCATACGGTAGCTTCACTTTTTGACACTTCTTCTGTAAATCTTTATGACCTTGTAAAGCATTAAAACTTACCCAGTAAATAGTCCAAGAGAAGTCACTTCAATGTGTTTTGCAACTGATCATTTCAAACACACACACAAGAAATAAAAACAAATCTCAACTGTTTCATCTTGGACAGGTGTAACCCCCTTCATTGCTTTCATTGTCAAAAAAAAGTAACAGATATTTGTAATTTTTACACAACTTGGTCATTTGAAGAGCAATTTTGTTGTATCTTTCATGAGAAACCAGTCATTTAAAAAAAAACATGTATTTTCTTCACTTTTTGAATTGCCCCTAGCACTTTTATCACCTTGTGCCTTTGTGGCTTTAATCCCCTTTCCATTTCTCAGCCTCCATTCTACTCAGACTTCCCTCAAGGATCTTTATCTTAAAATTAACTAATTCAATTCACTGCATAAATACAGAAAGTAAGGCCCACAAATCATAAATGACTCTCTCAAAATGACAGAAAAAGCTTAATGTAAAGCCTCATTTAAAATCTGAATTCCTTGTCTGTCCTCCTGCCCAATAGATCACACCGCCTCTCACTGCCGCCACCATCAAAATTTGGCATTAAAAATTTGGGTGCAAGCTGATTTTGAATCTCAAAGGATACAGATACTTAGGATTTGTTTGGGCAGATCATTTAATCTCTACATTTTTCTCCATTTGCATAGTGTCAACGTCTCTGAGTCTTACTTCTTCATTCTGACATATGCATAGTCCTTATCTTACTGACTGTGTGGAAATCCTCGCACAGATGCTGACCAAACACAGTCCGAACGCAGCATGGATTGGCAGAGCGAAACTATGCTCACTTGTATTTCATCACTGAACCGTAACTGACCCAAGCACCCTCACTAGGTCCCACACCTAGTGTCCTTTTCTCCCCTGCCTTCTACCCACACACACAATGTGTTTTCTTTCTTGCTACCACCAACGTAATCTTTCCCAACATCCATCTGGTCAAGCCCTCCTAATTTCATTATTCATTAGCTTGTAAAATCCTATAGTGTGAAGTCTGAACTGGTCAAGATGATACGTCCTTTATGTGCTGGATCTCATATTTGTGGAACAACACTTTCCAAGGTTATGTTTCCAGAGTTCTAAATTTCATACCATGGCATTCCCTCACTCCTTGTTTTAATAACATTGACTCCCGTGTGTGGTGTGTGTCTTTCCTTTTCAAGTCTACAGTCTGACAGAGCCTTCCCTTATGCTTGTGCTGAAAAGAGTGTTCACTGTTTCATCTTATTGTCCCATGTTGGTCAGCCGATCCATCTCTACATGGTGCATACCTTGAGAGCACATATGACATATCTGTGTGTCCTCAGGGCTTTCATGTAGTGCCTGGTACATCATGGGCACACAGGGAAAACCAGGTCACTAAAGCATCAAACACTGCTTTGAGAAATATCTGCATAAACAATCTAGATAAAAATGAGTAAACAAAAACAAGAAAATAAATAAATCATGATTTTTGCTCTCAATGAATTTATATATTCATAGAGCAAATAAGATACAAAGAGACAGTAAGAATCCAGGGGGTATATCTAAGTTATCACAGTAGGCCACGGTGGACTAGAAGGAGCCATGTTGCATTTCAAAGTGACCAGGATAGAGGCTAATACAAACTTCAGCCCCCAGGTACTTCTCAGCCCTGACATTGAAATGGCTCTTTGTGTACCAGAGGCCATTCCACACACCAGACCCTTCACAGACTGGCTAGCATATGTTTGCCTCGAATGCTTTCTTTTTTACATTTCAAAAGCCCATTAGAGTATTCTCCTTCTGCAAGCTTCTAGAAAATACTGTAAACACTTCTCCCTGTTGCTGTATGCTAAGCTAAGAGGCCATTCTGATGGCTTGGGATTCTGGCAATTTATTATTAAATCATCCAATTGGGAACCAAGGGAAGATCACCATCTGGATAAATCAGAAAGATCTAGTCAAATAAAGCACTTGCGTTGAATAACGAAAGTATATCTTTAATTAATTCATTTTAATTGATTAGTTTTAAAAAATAAAAGCTTATCGGATGGCCAAAATGTGAATCTAGAAGTATAGAAAATCTAGAATCTCTGAAGTAAGCATTCTGCGAGAGGAGAAAGTATTAACATTAGATAGAAAGAGCATTTCACAAGGCATATGGATTGTTTGAACCCTTGGACAGGTGCCCTCGAACAGACCAAGGATTATACTCCAACCTCAAGTGCTCTCCGGGGAGATCCGAGAAAGCCCTCTGCAGTGAGCAGGCGCCCAGGGCAGAGCTGCGTGGAAGAGACACAGGCTAGAGGAACACTGTAAATATAAGCTATGGGCGGTTATAGCCGGGTAATGATATTCTGTCAGTTTCCACATTTTTTTAAGATTTATTTAATTTTCATTGGAAAGTCAGACATATGTAGGAGGAAAGAGACAAAGAGGAAGATCTTCCACCAGCTGATTCACTCCCAAACTAATGGCAACAGCCAGAACTTCACTAATCCAAAGCCAGAAGCCCAGAGCCTCTTCCAGGTCTTCAATGAGGGGGAAAAATCCCAAGGCTTTGGGCCGTCCTCGACAGCTTCCCCAGGCCACAAGCAGGGAGCTAGATGGGATACGGGGCTGCCGGGATTAGAACCAGCACCTCAATAGGATCCTGGTGTGTGCAAGGCTAGGATTTTAGCTGCGAGGCTACCACAATGGGCCCTTCCCACTACTTTATTCACGTTTCTGCAGTGAATACTTTCGGTAGTTTATGCCTTAAGTCATCCTACTACATTTTCATCTTAAAATTTGTTTGCTGTAGTAACTTGTTCCTAAATTGAAAATGGAGCATTGATCCTTTGGTGTGTCATCCTTTCCAAACACTGTCAGTGAAGTGTCAAAGCATCTGTTTCTAAACTCAAGTGAACTGCTTTCAGAGAAAGATGTGTTTGTGTTGTTGCTCTTCCTGTTGTTGTTTCTTTCTATGATGAACTGGTTTTTTTTATTAGAGATGACTCTTGGGAAGAAAAGAAAAATACCAAATAGGGAGCTTCTTTCATTGATCCCTTTTTTGTTTCTCATCTAAACCTATTAACAGAAAATATATATATATGATTTTAAGTTTTTGTAGGGTCCTGGGAACACCGTAGGCACTAAACTTTTATTTTGTTATTTTATATTTTTGCGAAACTTTTATTTTTATAATAAGATGCTCACAAGATAAAGCTAGATCGCCTCCTGCCTGCTAAGTCAAATCACAGGAAAATGAAACTAATTATTTCAGTTTCTATGTAATAATTTTTCAAGAGATGAATTAAATCTCAAAGCAATAAGCTCCACATTTATGTTGAAAATCATGATTTAGGAACTGTTTTTCTTCAATTGCGAATGGCTCCAGGTTCACAAGTTTTGTATTTCAAAGAGGAAATTCCCTTCTTTAAATAACAGGCCAATGTGCTAACTGTTGCATTCACAAACCCTACAAAGTGTACAAACCATATTATGTAACTATATACTGTAATTCATAACCAATAGTGTAAAGGGTTACAAACCTAGCCATATACACAATATGTAATATACTTCCAAAAGTTCATGGAAAAGATATGATTAAAAAAAAGTTTATCTTAGTGCAAAAAATTTGAGACCCAAGCATAACTGTTTCATAATATGCATTTTCCATTAACTTTTGAACTCCCACATATGCATAGTTTTCAAACCTTTTTTACAAGGCAAAACCATTCCTTAATTCCATTTCCTTGGGGTTTTTTGAAGTATCCTTTTATTACGCACATTATTAGACCTGCCAGGTGTAAACATTATTAGCTCTGGCAAGTCTAAACCACATTTACACTGATCCCTACAGCCATACTGAGAGAACTTGGCATTTCTCCAGCACAACCTTGCCATGGGAGCATACAGCTCATGTATCTGTCAAAATTAATCAAGATAATCAGACAATTCCATTTTTAGCATTTTCACGATATTCTTAACCTGTAGGCTTCATGTCCCCTAAAGACATGTATGCAAATCTCTATCATCTCCCCAAGAATTTATGGTAAGAATCACAAAGAAGGACAGAAGAAAGAGAAAAGAGGAGAGGAGAACAGGGGAAGAAAGGGAAGGAAGAAGAAAGGAGAAAGAGGAGACCAGGGGAGGAGAGAAGGGGAAGAGAGAGGCAAAGGAAGAGGAAGCAGAAGAGAGAGGAAGGGAGGAATGAAAGGAGAAATTGAACATCAACTCATCAAATTACTAGTTCATCTAATTATTAGACAGGATATAAAAAAAAAAAACCTCCATGTTATAAATACAGGGAAAAAGCCAAATTTTAAATAGTGAAGCCCATCCACTACTTTCACTGTGACTAAGATGAAAGGCAAAGTATCTGTGAAATAACAGAGAGAGATGCTAAGTGGCATTCGGATGACCAGGTCATGAAGATCTTCGGTCATTGACCCTTATTAGGCTAACCCTATGCAAAGGTTAGGTCTGACATTCCTGTGAATGATAATCTTTTGTTTTGTGAGATCTTAACTACAAACTTTTCCATTTATTACGCTGCCCTTATCAAGCTTTTTAGATCTCTGTACAAATATAGTAGTGCTCCACGGGAGTAGCATGACTCAGAAGGAAATCTATTTACCAAGAAACTGCAGTGACTAAGTTCTAGTTCAAAACATGAGTCTTTGTAACTGGGGGAGGGGGATGGGAGGGTGCGGTGTTAATTCTTCCATCCTGGATGCTTCAGCTAAAACAGAAAACAAAAGACGTTTGTGTTAAGCAGAAAGGAACATATTGATTTTCCTGAAGTCATTGAACTATAGCAGGAAAAGAAAAAAAAAAAAAAGAATCAACCAAACTGGTTTAGGAACACAAATCTCTTTCCTCCCACCTAACAATTCTTTTTATCCAAATCTGACATGAACTGAGTGCAGATTTATACGCTTAAATTTGACAAAAATATGCTGCCTACTTGAAGACTTGACTAGCTTGTGTTTTTTATTTTTCTAAGTAGTTGGTTTTTATAAGCAAACAATGGATGTTATTCGGCTGCCTGTTAAAAAAGTTTTGCTTCCATATTTTTACTGGATATTTACAAGTCTTTTGTTGGTTTCCAACTATGTCTAAGGAGACACTGAAATAAAGAAATGATCTGGCTGAGCTCAAAGAGGAATGTTGTCACTTGAACACAAAATTCTTGTTCTAGAAGTATTTGGCTTCAGTGGTTCAATGATTAATTATTTTTAGATTCCCCATTCATCAATTTACCATGTTGATATTTCTAAAAACTATACCCCGATTGATCCTTGTACCTCTGCATCTGTCCTTGTCTTAGAAAGCTGGCACACTGCAGTGAGCACACCAGTGCTCTACCAGCTAAGGAAACAGAAACTCCAATGGCTTCCATCAGTAAACAAAAGTCTCCCTTTAAGTGACTGTTGGAGTCACCACGGAGTTCAGTTTTTTTTCCTCCCTTGTCCACCTATTCAGATCTGTCCTCAAACTCACCTAAGCTTAAAAGTTTGTGCAAAAAGCTTTTCTCAAAGCAAATTTTAAAACAGCGAATGCATTTTGAGCCTTAAAAAATAATAGCAACAATTTCAAAGTTCCAACAAAAATTATTAAATATATATTTTAGTCAACTGTTCCTTAATTTCACTGATAGTAACAACCACAAACAGAAATACATCCTAAGTGAAGGGGATTAAAAAAGCCAACCTTCAAGAAAAAAAAAACAGAATTATAATGAGAGGAGGCATTTAATTTAACTGATAATCATGCAATATTTGGTTTCAAGTTGAAGTTTGTTCATAAATTTATAATGCTATTAAGTAATGAGACTTCATTCTAACATTTTTATTTTACTTACATGTTTTAATAGGTTTATTAATAGGAAAGAAAATTAAAAGAGTGTTTTTCATGTTTCTCCTTCAGTCATCTACTCTCAAAATAGTGAGCAAAACATTGAAAAAAAAATAAAAAGGAAACCTATTTGCCTTACTTCTCTCTAAAGAAATCTGAAGTTTTTCATGTGCTTTTACTGTTTTAAATAAAATGAACAATTTGTGTGGCTAGAATGATACTTCAGTCAGATTCTGATCAAGCAGATTTGATTTAGAAAAAGAAAAAGTTGTGATGAAAGGGGAAAACATAAGATCCTGCCAGCGTTGATGTGTTTATTAATGCATCACGAGATATGCTTGCACCTGTTTCACTTTTGTTTAAAAGTAAAGAGCCTTCTCCCAGCACGGAAGCTAGGGTGTTGGTGTTGTGGGAGGGGACTCAGTAGGCAAGCTGCATCGATTTCCTCAGCATATAACAGAGCAGAACTCCTCTCACCTGTGAAGCAGGTAGTTTCCAAGAGGGCCAGCGAAGGACCTTTACGAAGCCTGGGACCTGTGTATGCCCGCTCCCGCGGGTTGCTCCTGTGCAGGAAGTTAAGCTATTTCCTGGTGGAGAAGGATGGCTGTCTGCTGTCTGGGATCAGCTTGAGAAGCGACTCTGTCAGCAGGGGAGTGTAGGTGTGTTCCGCTACTCTGAAGGGAATAAAGCTTAAATACGGTAGTGTCTGATAAGAACACCAGTGTCCTCAAGTTCTCATCTAACACTGGGCTTTCTGTTTTGCTTCTAAAGAAAAATGTTTTACAAGGACAGCATGAAGCAGACAAGATCTGGAGCAAAGAAGGATTTTATGCTGTTGTCATTTTTCTCAGCATCTTCGTTATTATAGTCACATGCTTGATGGTAAGTTTGCTTCTTTGCATGTTTTATCTTTTGCTGACCTCATTGTTTAATAGTATTGAGCACATTGCCCTTCAAATGAATGTGGGAGAGAGTGGCAGCAGAAGCAAGCCTGTAATCCTGTGAGGTTGGGACTTTCATATCCGACAGTGCAGTGACTGCTTAAAGAAAATGTTCAGAAATGTGGATGCTGACCTGCATGGGGAGGCTGTGAAGTTTTTGGTAACTTGATCAACCCTAAGAATGAAACCCGGAAAAATGATTTACTGAGGTCATTGATGTCCTCGAAGGAATTAAAGTCACAGGGGGCACATTTTGGGCTTACTTTATTTCTTCCTTTGTATCATTTCTTGTGGAACTCAGGCAATTTAAAAAAAAAAAAAAAAGCAAATATGCCATTGCACTGAGTTTACTCCTGAAGGAACGATTTTTCCCCCTATGTTTAAAGGACCTTGAAAGCATTCTATGAAATTGCAGGCATGAGAGGGAAGCAAAGATACCTCAAATGCTAAACCAACCAATTTTTTTTAGGTGCATGACTAATGGACAAGTATAAAATATGCATTACAACATCTCAACAAGAAACAACATACAGCCTTTAAAAGTTTATTTTGGATTTAAGAAATGCAGTCCAAAATAAACTTAACCCACTAAATTAACTCTGGAACTGAAGAGGTTAACTATCAACTTTTGAATAGAATGAGAAATTGCTTTTTATTTTTTCTTTTTGAAAATGCAATATAACATAACATGAAGTTTACAGATGGGGTTTAATACATTTTTCTGTGTCTTATTTTTTTTTAAATTTCACAGTTTTAGAAAAACAATCCTCCTTGTTAAATGCCCTTTTCTGATTCTATCCACAGTCAACAGTGTTCCAAGTGTTGTATTGGGTTTTATTCATTTGTGCTCCCCATGCTGGGAATAGATTTATGTTAGAACGATTGGGGCTCATTCTAGGAAAGAAGAATCAGAGTGGGTCTGAACTTGAAGAATATACCACTAGTGAGACATTGAAGGGAGTGAAAATGGGCTTGTCTCTGAGTTCAGATATGGGAGCAACAGGAAGACCCTAAAACTCCATTGGAACAAATCTGAGATATCCTTAGGTCAGCCACTGAGAAAGATTTCTAGAAATTACGACCCAGTAAAGAAAATAGTTAAGAAGAGAGTAAGAAAATGAATTTTTACTCTTAAATGGTGGAGATTCTGGGGGAAGGACTTTCAAAGAGAGGAGGTCGGTGGCTTTACAGGAATTACGGGAGAAGCCTGTGGTGTCTTCCCAGCGTCTTGGGCAGTGTGCTTCGTTTTCACGGCTAATTACACTTCTTGCTTTAGTACAGGAGTTCTCAAGTGTTCTGCTATCAGTCATAAATAGGATGTTTTTCTATCTCACAGGTGAAAAGGAAGAGGTGGGGGAGAATAGAAAGAGGTAGAATGTGGTTAAAAAAAAGAGAGTTCCGAGGAGAAGGATAGCGCCCTGAAGATCAAAGGCGAGCAGAACAAGTGGAGATGCAGATTCAGACAGGGTCTTTGCGCAACCAAAGGGGCAAGGAGAAGCAGACTGGAACTGCCTATGAACATGTAACATATACATTTTAAATGTTTATTGTTATTATTATGCTCCAAGGTCAAGTTTTGTAAGTATAGAGATCCCCCCGCGTCCCTCCTCTTTTTCCCACTCCATTTTTCTCTCCCATCATTTCCCCCCACTTGATTACAGTAGGATAGCTCTCGCATTACAGTTACTGGTTTAACATTCTGCTATTTCAGTACATCATGATATTGTAGATATAGGCACAGGTAAAACAAATATGTATCATATCATCAAGGTGTATTTGACAGTTCCACTGGGAGTCCTCCATTTGTTCAGGAGAACAGATGCTTACCGCAACATATCCTCGCTTCCCATTATGTTGGTCTCCATTATATAGTCCGTCCTTAAGAACATATGTGTATACTTGTTCACCTATTCTAGATTCTGCATTTCTAAGTCAGGGATTCCCTAAATATCCTACAGATTCAGAGAGTCGTGCATTAGGTTCTTGTGGCAGCAAAACCCAAAGAAGCCACTAGAGTAAAAATGATAACTCCTCTTTGGCTGACATTTGCAAATCTACATAAAAGTCAAAAATCTAGTTAAGTCTGTTCCAAGAACTCTGTCTCAAAATATGGGTGATTGCTACTGGTTTGGCCTATAGATTCACCCATTTGTTCAGTCAGCATCCCTGCACAGTATCTGCCATGAAACTCTTGTCGGCACAGTGGGCGAAAAAAGAAAATAAGACAGATAAAGTGTCTGCTGTCTTGAAACCTATGTTCTAAAAGGAAGCAAAAACAATGATTGTTTCAGAGAATGAACTATACTGTTTGATTTCAACTAGACAACATTTTGGAACAGACAAGATTGTGGCAATAGTGAAAAGATCCTTGGTTGCCAGCAGCTGAGGATAAAGGGAATGATTTAGTGGAAGATAGAAGATTTTAGAACACCAGAACTGTTCTGCATTCTAAAATGGTGAGAATGTGACATTATGAACCAATCAATCAAAACCCATGGAGCATGTAACACAAAAAGTAAACCCTCACCTACACAAGAGACTTTAGTTAATAATAACAGCATATCAATATGGATACATTGGTAGTAACCAAGGCACCTCAATAATGCAAAATGTAATAATAGAGGAAATTGTCGGAGGCAGAGGGGAGAGGATGTTACATAGGAACTCTACCTTCTGCTCAATTTTTCTGTAAACATAAAACTTCTCTAAGAATAAACTCTATCATTTGTTTATAAAATGGAATAGCGCGAAATGCCATGAAGAGGGTAACCTAACAGTGTGTGAAGGAGCAGAACAATCTATGACATTTGAGATGTACAAAAATGTGGGGAAAGGCTCTCCCGAACCAATGGTAGTGGGTGGAAAGGGCTGATGGAGGAGTACACGGAACCTGTTCAGGGTCAAAGATGGGAGATGAGGGGGACTGTGTACCTTAAATGGCCCTGATGCGACATGGTATGTGTGCGTAAGACATAATAGTCTCTGCTGGTGGAGAATCTTTGGGACATAGAAGAAATGCATGTGGGATGGGAGGACCCACCCAGAGGCTATTTTTTGATGTGTGTGAACATGGAGAGAAGCGAAGGATTGGGATTTATTTGAAGTAAAACTGATGAGATTTTCGTGTCCAAATCCTTGGATAGATGGGAAAAATTTAAGGAAGACTCCTAGATTCTACGGTTTCTTGACCTAAGTGACAGAGCTCCCATTTGGGGAAAGGAACTTGGCCTGGGGTGGGAAGCAGTAAGCTAGGAAGAATACCTGCCTGGTGCAGTAGCCTAGCAACTAAGGTCTCGCCTTGCAAGTGCCAGAATCCCATATGGGCACCAGTTCTAATCCCGGCAGCCCCACTTCCCATCCAGCTCCCTGCTTGTGGCCTGGGAAAGCAGTGGAGGACAGCCCAAGACCTAGGGACCCTGCACTCATGTGGGAGACCAGGAAGAGGCTCCTGGCTCCTAGCTTCAGATTGGCGCAGCTCCAGCTGTTGCAGCCACTTGGGAGTGAATCAACAGACTAAAGATCTTCCTCTCTGTCTTTCCTTCTCTCTGAATATCTCACTTTCCAATAAAAATAAAATAAATCTTTACAAAATAAAATGAATTCCTTTGATTATAATAATTCTTAAATAAACAAAATAATGGAATGATAGATCTTAAATATGCCTCTGCATTTTAATATAAAATATCACTTCAAAAAATAGAAAATCAATAGTTACATAGAAAGGAATTGATATTCATCAGAAAATATAACCTATGTTAGGCTTACAATGAAGGCATGCATATCTAAAGCTGTTTATCACGGACAAGTCAATAATTCACTTTTAGGAACTGCCATAAATAATTCTGTAAAATGACCACTGCTTTCTAAGAGTTCAAGGTGATTGTTTTTTGATCTTTATTTTAAGTACATATCTTGTTGGAATCTTTCAATAACAGTTACACTACCACCTTTGAGATCCTCAAATTCATGTTGTAATTATCTTAGCTTTGTTGATTCCGTGGTAAAAAGAAAAATGGATATAACTCAGAATTTTCCTTCTGACACTGCTTATATTTATGAACTATCAAGAGTACATAAAAATGAAAAGGTGTGTGATTTTATTATAAAGTTATGGAAGTAAATTGCTATAATGAGGCTTGCATGTGATGTATAACAATAGTATAAGGTTTGGCAGAATTGCTGAAATGTGGAATATTGTTCACTTTCCTTAAAACACACACAGAAAAAAGAATATATGTTGCCAGGCATAAAATTAGACAGGCATGACATTTCAAATGTGTGACTTATTTAGCACCTCTCCATATAAACCCAGTGTGGGTGAAGCAACAAATAGACAAATACAATGTTTTAAGAAAAAAAAATATGTGGGCAACTTCCAATCCATTCAGTCTCTTTTACATGGAGATAATTTATAACTAAGAAGAATTATTTCTTAAGCTTGAACAAAAAAAAATGGAAAGAACAGTATTGTCGAATTTAGACCCTCAAATGCACTTGGAGGTTTATTAACAGGTGCATGGTTAACTTACGAAATGTGGGTACAATCAGATTGTTTCTAGAAGGTACTCCTAGGAATCGTGGAAAGGCAGCTCTTTGAATTAACAGAAACATGGCGTGTTAGAGTCATCTACATGTGAGGCCAAGAGTTTCTGCAGTCCCATGCTGGAAACAGAAGCCCCATGTATGACGCCTTGCTGTAGCCTCATCATCATACAGTGAATTCCTGTGAAACGTGTACATGAATAATCACACTTTTCTGATTTGTTGCATTAATCCCTAAAGATGAAGGGAAATGGAATTCAATTCCTAGCTGGAATGAATGGTTACACAACCATTTTCATAGTGGATATATGTCTCAAACTATTTTTCAGAATTTTGGTGTTAAGAATACAACCCTCTTAATAATAATAGTAAAATAATTACAATAGTAATTACAACAGTAAGTACTTTTTCTTCCATTTATTGCACTCTAACTAGTACATAGTTTACCACATGATACTAAACAATGTAATTCAGAGATAACAATTCAGAGATAATTTACTAATAAGAAAATCAAAATTCGTAAATTAAAAGGGATTCGACCAAGCACATTCATGGGTGTGAGGCAGGAGTGTGGAGGAGAATGGTGCCAAAGGGATTGAGATTCAAATCCAAGTCCACTTGAATTGAGAGTCTGGGCACTTCATCACAATTCCATTTATCTCCATCAAAAAAATGTATCAATTTCATCTGATTACTCTGTCTTGTGAACTACTACTTCTGGTCAAAAGCAGATTGCATAACAGACAAGAAAGCTGGTGTTTACCACAAACCATCCATCCAGGAAGAAGTGATAATGTGTACCACGTCATACCTGGTTGTTGCAGACACACCTTTATTTTTGCACTTAGTACCTTGTACTGGACATGATCTTCACACCTCTCTCTCTTCCGGAGGCCTGCATGTGCCTAAGGGACAGAGCCACAATATTTCACTTCCAGAATATGGTGGGGATTTGATTCATGTGCGTCTAATTAAAAGCAAATAGTGAATGAACTGTCTCAGAACCAATTGCAAATTACTGCAAAGAACACTAACCATTAATTGGTTAGTGGCATCATTTTAAAATGTGAAGATATTTTAATCCAGATAGAATGCTTTATGCTGCAAGATTATAAAAATGAAAATTATAAGATGCAATAACCTTTCAAGAGATTTTGGTTAGCCTGTTATTTTTTTTTTCTCTTGCAACCATTTGATTTGTTATCAGGACTGTCCATCATTCAATAATCTGTTCTTTTGCTTTGTCAATCGATCCACTGCCTTTATCATAGCTCATCCTTCAAAGAGGTCTAACAATGATGGAAAAATATTGACTTGTCCTTGCTGTCGTGAGCTCTTAGCTTGAATTTCATAACAAAATGAATTCATGTGGAGAAGTCTTCATGTGTTGTTCTTCAGACCTCAGTCTGTGTAGGGAAGAATCTGGCATGCTTGGAAAAAAGCTTTGGAAGAAAGACATAGGGGTTTTTATGAAACAGTAGAGTTAAATGATGACATGCCTGAGCACCAGAAAACCCGGAGTCTAGACTTGATTTCTAACCTTGCATTAATCATTCAACCACTCTAACTTATATGTGAAATAAGGAGATTGCACATGATTATCTTTAGAATCCCTTACTCTAGCATTCCTCAGTTGTAGCAATACTAACAGTTGGGACTGGCTCTGAGTGGGGATGGAGGGTGGGTGGGGGTGGGTTCCTATGCATGATATCTTGAAGCATCTCACACTTTTGTCCACTAGGTGTCGGTTCCATTCCTTCTCCATCCACTCCTCACCAGCCTTGACAACCAAAAATTGTCTCTAGACATTGTCAGTGTTTCCTGAAGAGCGAAGTTCTTAGTTGTTGCCACTTGAAACCATTGCCTTATAGCTTACTTACTTCCATGGTCACCAACCTATTGTCAAGTAGCAAGCATTTGGATTTGTCCACATTTTTTTTTCCAGACAACCCAATCTCAAGGGTATTTTTGAACAGTGTCATGCAAGTATTATATGTTCTTCACTTTCTGCTCGTTCCTAATTAACGATGTAGAAATCAGTATGTGCCCTTACTACCAAGAAATGGGTTGAGAAGTTGACCTCTTACAACAGATAAACAGATGGCTGCTGGTTAAATAATTTACAAAGGCTCCTCAACAAAAACACTAGCTCATGGGTGGCAATGAAGGACTTTAGACTAGGCTCTATTTTTTACTAAGATAATCATAAAATGACTTCTCAAAAGCAATTGGGGTTCAGCATTTCCTTGGATTTCTCATTTTTCGTATTAAAAGCATATTTCTCCAAAATCTAAGTATAAATGATCAAATGTACCAATAATGCATATGATATTTAGACCTGAAGACCTGAGAATATACAATCATTTGCTTTACCATTCTCTACTACATATACTTCTTAAAAGGCACAGTGTAATTTTCCTTGACTCAAGAAACTGACTTCCCTTAATTTTTTCAACAAAACTGCTACCTTTTTGTAGCTCTGTGTTTAGCTTAACACAACATGTGTCATCCAGTTAGCACTATTTTACTGGGTATCTTGTTTTCCCAGTATGGTGTAATGCATACTGTGAGGGTCATGGAAACATCAGAGAAGCAATTAAAAACCTTGGCCTCTGTTTATGGGATAAAGGCCTACATCTTTACTATTTTCTAGGCAATAGTCTAAAGAAAACACAGTATGTTCATTTGAAAGTATTATGATCAGGCTAAGAATTATCACCATATTGGACACAACTTTTGTTTTTCCTCTTTTTAAAAAATGTATTTGTTTTAGACAGGTAGACTTACAGAGAAAGGAGAGGAGAGAGAGAAGAGAGAGTTCTTCCATCTGCTATTCACTCCCCAAATGGCCACAATGGCCTGAGACAGTCTGCAGCCAGGAGCCAGGAGCTTCCTCCAGGTCTTCTGTGTGGGTGCAAGGGCCCGAGCACTTGAGCCATCCTCTGCTTCTTTTCCAGGCCAGAGGTGAGGAGCTGGATCAGAAGTGAAGTAGCAGGGACATGAGCTGGCATCCATGTGGAATACCAACACTGCAGACAGGATTCGCCTGATAAGCCATTATGCCAGCCCACCAACATGTTTTTTTTTTCTTACGTAGTATTTTTCATGGGAATATTCTGAATCCTTTACTCTTCAGAGTGTGACTTAGCTTGACCCTGCCAGACAAGGTGAAAACCATCAGGATAGAAGCTTCTAGCTTTAGAAAAAGTAAACTGACATCAGAAACATGAAGGGTTTCTGGAAATGACAGGCATATAATGTACCTAGCTAGTTTTTTCTCACACAAGCATGCTTCCTTAATTTTTTTTCCTTATACGATCTTTCATTCTGCAAAAAAAAGGTGCTCTTAGAGGCTGTGCTTTTGAAATGCAGTGGTGACAATGAGAGGTACTGCGGATGCGATGCCAGAGTTGACCTTTTTGGTGGTGGATGGCAAGCAGCAGAGGCAGTGTGCAGGAGCTGGGCAGCCTGGACAGCCTGCAGTCCTGAGCTGCATTGCTGGTGGGCTCGGTCGTGCCTGCTCCCCATTGTTTCCCACAGACCAGTTTTCTTCTGTGCAGGGGCATCAGAAAGGCCTCTGATGACCATTCCATGACCGTTGTCTCTGATTCCCTGCTTGTTTAAAGTTCTTTAACATAAAGAATCGATTCTTTTTTTTTTTAATCTCTCTGTCCTCCTTCCACCTTCTTTCTTGTTACTATCATTTTGGGATATTGGACTTGATGCCAAATTAACCTGGGTTCTCTCTCAGTATTTAAATAATTACAAAGCTTCATCCTACATGACAATTCCTGATTCTAATTAGAATCAAAAATTAAGAAATAAAATTTTATTTTACATCATAATGTTGAATTATCTTTCTCACCATTAGGAATACAAAGGTTCATCAAACATTTCATGGGAATTTGCATTATGAAAAATATACAATATTTAAAAGTTTGGGTGTGCAAAAAATTATCTTTTGATCCCATTTTCTTTAAACTTTTTGGAATCTTTCGTAGCTTTTTGAGCAAGCTTTTGCACAAGAGATATGGGTGGCACATGTTCTGAGACCTTACATATTTGAGAAATTCTTTCTGTTGGTTTTCTCCTTGTTAACACCAGCCTAAGTGTAACAGCCACGCATCCTTTGAAATGCACCTTTTTCCTCACAGCTATGAAAATTGGTCCTGTTTTCCTCCCACATGAACTCCTCTTTCAATTGCAATACATAATTTTGGTCTTTTATTTTTAAAACTAAGAGTGTTTTTTATTTCATGTGGCTAAGTTTCATAAAAATGAACGGCAGGTTTTTGTTTTGTTTTGTTTTTTTGTTTGTTTTAGCAAAAAAAACACCCTGTCGTTTTCAGCCCATGTGACCCGAAATGGACAATGAGTCTTTGTTTTGGTTTGTCTTCTCTTCCAGGTTTGGGTGGAGAAAATCATACTTTGTTGTTCAAAATGAGAAAATGTGACAGGAACATTTTATATGAGAATATCCAAAAGGTTCATGGAAAAAAAAATGTATGTTATGAAAAATATACATAGATTGCAAAAAATTCTGTGCCAAAAGACGTGTATTTCTTAATTGCTTTTTTCTGCACAAACTTACTAAAATACTCTCCTATTTTCTTTTGTAGATTCTTTACAGATTAAAAGAAAAGTTTCAACTTTCCTTGAGACAAGATAAAGAGAAAAATCAGGAGATCCACCTATCACCTGTCACATTACCACCAGGACAGCCAGAGGCGAAGACAGCGCACAGTATGGTCCAGCCTGAGCATGCCCCAAAGGTGCTGAACGTCATTGTAGACCCACAAGGCCAATGTTCCGCTGAGATCAAAGCTGCCGCCTCTTCCTCCGTCTGCCATTCTCCCTTCAAAATGAAGCCCATTGGACTCCAGGAGAGGTTAGCACTTTTTCCGTATCCTCCTGCATGCTTCTTTTTTTGTGTTGTAAGAGTGTTCATCATCTGAAAAGGACAGAACCAGAAAGGGTTACATTTGTCGTGATTGGGCAGAACCGATCACCCCCAAACAAGCAGCAGAAAGAGAAGTGTTTTATCTCTCTCCCCAAGAGTGGAGCCGCATGACACAAAATCTTTTAGGTGCATCTGTCTCTGTCACACTTCTGTGGCCCCAAGCGAAGTCCAATCTCAGCTGTAGCACAGTGCCTGTCATCATTTACTGAGTGCTAGATGAGGATCATTAGCCAAACATACAGTCATCTTGTTTAACTGCCATCAAGCTCTGCGAAGTAGAGCAACTACGAACTCAAAGTGTTTCCTGCCAAAGCCTACATGGTTTTTAGTCACATAGACAGTCTATGCCACAAATTGACTTCTTAAAAAAGGTCTCCTTCTACTTCCTCCAACCACAGTCAACATTACATATCAATATTCTTGGCATACTTATACATGCAATGTACATTATACCCATACACTTCCATTAGAGGCAAAGCCAATATAACAAAACTAGAATATGCAAAATGTGTGATCAAAGAGTTCATTCTTTAATTCCAAAGAAATTAAATAAAACTTTTCCATACTATTTCTTTTTTTTTCCCCAAGATTCATTTGTTTTACGTGAAAGTCAGAATTACAGAGAGGAAGAGAAATCTTTCATCCAATGTTTCACTCCCCAAATGGTCACTATGGTCAAAGTTGGGCCTGTCTGAAGCTAGGAGCCACAAGCCTTTTCTGGGTTTCCCATGTGGGTGCAGAGGCCCAAACTTTGGGCCATCCTCTGCTGCTTTCCCAGACTCCTTAGTAGGGAGCTGGGTCAGAAGTGGAGCAGCTGAGACAAGAACAAGTGTTATTACGGGATGCCAGCTCCACAGATACTGCATCCTGGTGCCAGCTCCCATGCTATATCTCATCATGAGGAACTTCATTTTTATTTTTAAAACATGATTTACAGTGTACCTATCATTGCATATTTGAGTAGTTAGGAAGGTAAGAAATTCTCAAGGTACAATCCTTGATTCATTTTCCTCTTATTTTCCTGTGTCTTTTCTGTCACTACTCTTTGATTTCCTGAGGTTTCTAGATTACAGATGTAAATTTTTATTCTACTCCCCAAATGTACTGTCCTATGCAAATGGTCATGGTACACACACACACACACACACACCATTCAGAACATAAAACAAAATTGGTCATTCAAAATTGTTTGGAAAGTATTGCCAAAGAGCAATGAATGTGCAAAGAGAGATTTACTTCCGTGAAGGCATCTAGGATGACCCTTGGATGGCACTACAGAGGGAAGCCAACCAAGTTCTTCTATTCTCTTCCTTCCTCAAAAACCTGCTGAGATCCTGCTGGATTTACATGGGGATCTCTGAAGTTCTCGCACTTGGCTATCACTCAGTTGCTGGGGAGGATTCAGCCCAGGGAGGTGGACAAGATGGGCCTTTCTTCCTGAGACCAGGTGTGGATCAGGAAGCTGAATTCCAAGTCCTACTCCGTCATACCCCAATTCGGTGGCTTCCCGTGAGGAAAGCACGCCTTACTTTCTTAAGCTTGACTTCTTAGCTTCTTTCACTCTTGCCACCCACATCATTGCTGTACATTTAGGTTTACTTCAAAGATAAACCGTGAAAAAGATGGAAACATCACTGGTAACCCAAGGACAGGGTAGCAGGAAAGTTCTGCCTGATGCAGCCAGTAGCCCATCCGTAGAAGATTAAAGATCATAATAAAAGTCTGAAAATCTGACTGTTTTTGTCATCAGCGTGTGGCCACCAATTCCAAGCAATACCAGTGTAAAATAGTGTAGGATAGGAGCTGTTTCCAGCATTCTGCTTGTGGCATACCACCCCTGGGCATGTTGGAATTTCAAGGAGCAGAAGTTTAAATATCCATGTTTATTTAAAACGAATGTCTGGGAAGGCAGGATGTAGGAGTGATGCTGTCTTCTAGATCTTTGCCATCCATGAAGGTGATGCTCTCAGACCAAGTGTGTTCAGTGTTACATGTCCTCTGATCTACAAACTCTCCTACCTATCCACCCACTTCCTTCCCACCGAGAGCAGAAGAAATTCCTTCCGCAGGGCTGTAGGTCACTCCCTGCCGACCACAGCCTTCCATTATTTTCAAAAACCTCTTCTTGCTTATACCAGCCCCTTAGTGTAGAAACATATTTTCTATTGTGTAAAAGAAACATCATCCTATCCCACCTCTGGCTCTTGTCTTTCATTCCGTTCTCAAACAAACATCTTCGTAGAGGGGAGAACTTCAAAATGTTCATGGGAAATGCGCGCTGTGAAAGAACTGAGCATGGACTATAGGGTTATTTTTGTTTCCAACAAAATAAACTCATCTCTAATCGTCCCTTTTCCATGAACTTTTCAAGGTACACTGTTTATTGTCTCATTGATTGACTTCTGTCTTCCACCCTTGTTGCTTCCTTTGCCCACTCCTATCAAAGCGATCCAAATACCAAAGCTAAAGCATGCTTCACTCCTTTTCTATCCACCACTGTGCATGACTGTGTACTACTGGGTTAGGAAGCAGCTGCATTCATGTTACATTCAAGCATCATCTCACTGCCCTATCCCACTGGCAACACAGGAAACTGACTACTTCTAAGAAACCATCTCCCTAAGACACATCCCAGTCACTTATCCTCCTGTGTCAGACCCTGCTGCTGAGCCCGTTGCCCTGGGGCTGAGACCTAAAGGACACGGAGCTCCAACGTACAGACTTTGAGAACAGCAAGTGCATCTCCAATCAATTCACATTCTGCCTTACCTAACACCCACATCCTCACAGGGGTCCTTCCACTGAAGAACTGGCCTGCAGAGCTCAAAGGCCAGCTCAGAACTCCAATGTCACTGCTTTCTTTGCAGAGCTAATAAAACACCAAGCAGCTTGGTAACTCAAGTGCGCAAGAGGTCCAAAGGTGATGAACCGGCGGGGAGGGGAAGAAGGAGGTGTAGGGGGATCCAGGAGGAGGAAAGTGAAGCATTGCTTCCTCTGGGAAGCCATCTGGATTGCCTCTACCTCCTGTCCCTTCTTTCTTCACCCAAGCTTTCTCCAACCCAGCTCTGGCTAGCTGCAACTCTTCTGCTGTCTCTGCTTTAGTCACATAGCCCAATGTCACACTGTATTTGTAGCACTTCTTGGGTGTATTTTTAAATTGAGTTCGCTAATCAACCTTTCCCTGTAGGCTCTATTTCCTGAGGGCATATGGATGATTTTATTTTTCCTTTATTTTCACATATGAAACATAATTCCTAGAGAGCAAGAGTTTCTAGAAATAGGTGTTAAAATAATTGAATAGATTAAAAAATGTTACCATGGGTAATTTTTTTAAAGCCCACTCCCAGGAGTAAGAGGAAAGCACTTTGTTTATTCTATAATCCCTTTATGTTCAATTCTCACTTCCATTTCGCTACTGTGATTCCCTGCCAAGATGGTGCAGTAGGGACAGGCATGAGATGTTTGCATCCCATATGGTAGTGCCTTGGGTTCAGTCTCACTTTCACTACTTCGAACTTCATGCTGATGTGCCTGCCAGCAGGCCACAGGGGACGGCCCGAGCTCTGTGTCCCTGCTTTTCACAGGGAATACCTGGATTGAGCTCCAAGTTCCTGGTTTCACTCTGGCCCTACCCTGACTGCTGTGGAGAAAGAACCCAGAAAATCAGAAATTTCTATCATTCTATCTCAAAAATATATAGTAAACGAGTCAATATTTTTAAGGGAAAAAAAGCAAACATGGCATAATGAAACATCTTAAGAATGATAAAATAGGAATGGGAAACAGTATTCCATGAAGTCAGGAAACTTTTATGACAGTTTGAGGCCTTAAAAATTTATGCTTATGGGTTCTAATGGTGCATTGTTCAATAGCTTCATGTTTGATTTGCCGTCACTTCAACCCGTAGCACAGCAGTAATCCTCTCTTCATTGCGTAAAAGTCTGGCTTCATTAAAGTCACCACAAGACCATAAAGGCCACATTATGAGCCATTTGTTTCAAAAAATCTATTGGCCCATTCCATATAAATCTCTTAATGCTGATGGAGAGCATCCATTACTCCAACTTTTTTACTAATAAAATATAATATCCAAGTGGAATTTTAAGTAAAAGAAAACATAGAGGCTAAATGTATATGTTCAAATGGGTTCAAAGAAATTTCCAAGACTGAAGAATCTTCTGAGATGGAGGACCTAGATTTCCTTTCTTTTCTCCCCATTTACAGTCACCAGATTGTACTGAGTTGTGTTCCTCCAGTGTTATTATTGAATCGCTCTTTCTGTAATCCTCACTCTGGTCACAGCTCTCAGTGCTTCATAGTTGAATCAGTGTGGCCAAATCATAACAGAACCGATATATGTTCTCTCTTTCATGTGTATTGTTTTTTTTTAAGATTTATTTATTTATTGGAAAGTCAGATATACAGAGAGGAGGAGAGACAGAGAGGAAGATCCTCCGTCCGTTGATTCACTCCCCAAGTGAGGGCAACAGCCGATGCTATGCCGATCCGAAGCCAATATCCAGGATCTCCTTCTGGATATCCCACACGGGTGCAGGGTCCCAAAGCTTTGGGCCGTCCTCAACTGCTTTCCCAGGCCACAATCAGGGAGCTGGATGGGAAGTGGAGCTGCCAGGATTAGAACCGGCACCCATATGGAATCCCGGGGCGTGTTCAGGGCAAGGACTTTAGCCGCTAAGCCACGCCACCGGGCCCCACATGTATTATGTCATTTTTTTTTTCTGTCTGTATCTAATTCTCTTCTCCTCTTCCATTCATACTGTGTACTTCTGTACTCTCAGGTTTATCTTGCTATAACACCTCTTGAATTATCGCACTTAAAAATTCCTCACTAGCTCCACCTATGTCTCTAGGGCAAGGTATAGACCACCTCACTACAGTCTATCGCTTGGCCCTGACGCTTCTCTTTA